AATATGTTTTCTTAACCATCTATCAATTTTCAGGGAAGTTCACCAAAATGTGTCAGGGAAATCAGGGAAATGTCAGGGAATTTAATTTTCCAAATTCGGTGGCAACCCTGATTTTTTGTTTGGTTTTCAAAAGTAGTTTGCAGATAAAACTTTTGGGCCATTAGATCTCGATTAGCCTTGACGTACCAACAAAAACGCGCACCCAGCAGCGCTGCTGAATTGTGACGCTGAAATCAGCGACTAGATACAAAAGATGTACCTCGTTTATCTAGCCTAGAATAGGTATTATCTTAATTTTCATTCAACGACCCATTATTCCAGTGACTCACGGGCGCATGTGCGAGATCGAGAGAGATAGTTGAAATAGCTGAATAAATGGCTCGTCATCGGTCGCTTTATGGCCCCTGTCCACATAAACTTCCTGGGTGTATACAGATTTGGGAAACGGAAAATTGTTAGGGAATTCCAGCAGGTCCAAGAAAATATGAAAGACTTGAAGTTTGAAAAATCTTGAAACTTGAAATCTGAAAAACATTAGCGCAGTTCCCAAAATCAAACTGATTTTCGGTCTGATTCGAGGTTCAGCGCGCTGCGTTACTCCCTGAACTGTATGAGAGTAATTTGCTGAGTCAATTGCAGTTTTAGTTCATTTAATGATTCATGCCTGAGAAAAGGCGGTTTGCACGTGTCTTTAATTCGCAGCAAAATCAATGCCAAAAAATGTTTATTTTCAGTCTTGCGCGTGCAAAGAGTAGATGTGAAAAGTCTGGAAAATGATCATTTTGGCCAGGAAAAATCTGGAAAAGTCCAAGAATTACTTCCTCCCTAGCCTGTAGACAGAGACACCTTGACTTCCCTTCTTTCTTCTGGAGGCACTTTTTTTTAGCTCCGCTGTCCGCAGTGATATTTCGACGGTGTAAGTCGGCAATCACATAACTCGATTTGCAACGTTGCAGACTTCCTGCCATACTTTGTTTTTAAAACGGAAAACTACTCAACGGCAAGTCTTTAAAACTGCCGTGATTTTTCTTCTCTGTGCGAAGAAAATTCCGCAAAAACTTAAAGGAATGATGTCAATTTGTTCTCCTTTAAAAGAATAACACAGAGGCGGAGATTTTCAGACAGCGCAAACGAGATCAGGGCCGGATTAAGGGGATGGCCACATGGGCCGCGGCCCATGGCGGAAAAATTAGGGGGTGGCAAATTTTGAACTTTTTTTTAAATTCAGGTACAAAAAAATCGGATTCAGAAAAAAATTACAAACAAGAAAAGGTGACAAAATCTCTCATTTCCTGAGAGTTCATTAATTTCTAATTTTGTCGTATATCGGTGATACAAAAGACTGCGCACCATTGATTAGTTGAGTTAAGAAAGAAACCAAACACGTAATTTGCCTGGAGCGGCGCGGCGCAAAGAGAAATGATGACGAGGACTCGAGATAAAAAGGAGAAGCCCTCGACGCGGCGCGGCGGTCGCGTCGGCATGTAACACATATTAGCGCCTGCGAGACAGCATGAATACTTCACGCATTGCGTCAAACACAGTACGGTCAACAGCGGTCGGCGCGGCGTGAAACGCACAGTGCCTACAAGACTACATGAATACTTCACGCATTGCGCCAAACACAGTGTGGTCAGCGCGGCACGGCGGCGGAAGTTAAAATTATTAAACCACGTTTATGTTTGTTCTTTCTTAATTTTTTAGTTCATTTCTTACAAATGAAAGGCCTTGTCCCCACAGAGATAGGTTTACGGAACTGAACTTACGCGCGAAGTTCCGTGAACTTTTGCTGGTAGTGTTGACAGGGCTTACGCAAAAAATGTGTCCAACACGCGGGAACGTGTCTTATGCACCCTTCTCCCTCCGACACGTTCACTTGATGGTTTTCATTGATGTTTAAAAATGAATGAGAAGAGGGCGGCAAAATACAGGCGGCCCATGGGCGGCAAGTTGGTAAATCTGGCCATGAACGAGATATGTGATCGCGGACTTACGCCGTCAATTTATTTTTGTCTCGTGAAGGAGAACTATATTCTGGCTTTCCAAGCTCTAGACCACCCCTTTAAAATTAAGGCAAGCTGAGCGTATAGCCTTTTCCGAAACTGCAGAGTGTTCATCTTATTAAAAATTAGTCGCACCATCAGCCTTCCAAGCTTCTAACTCCGCAGAAACGTCATAAGCAGACTTCAAGCGAAAAAAAATTGAAGAATCAGTGTTTTTCTTCTTTTTCTTATTCTTCGCTGTTTTGGTCAATAAAATCCCCTTTTTTTTAAAAAAAATACAATTTCCGATCAGACCACATATTTTCCTACTCATCCCTTCAAAAAAAAAAAAAAAAAAATCATATTTATGGACGGTACATAAGCAAATAATTACCATTACAGTTGTACGGTAAAACTACGAACTCTGGTGGATCCATCTTACCACAGTATTTCCGTCGCTCCCCTGACATAAGGTCGTATCTCGATTTCTGCATGAGCTCTAGAAAGCATGGATTTACATGTGAATCAGGGCTCACGTGGAAATGAGGTACGCTCTCACGTCATAGGAGCGACGTTTTGTTCTTGGTTGCATGCGGCCAGGCGACCTGTTAGCGGGGAATTGTCGAACCTAGGAGAAATCTGTCAACAAGAGTGTTGGATATTTCAACACACGATAGTGCAGACATTACAAACACACTCTTTGAAACATTCTTTGCTGTGAGATGTCACCAATAATTATGACTCATCAGCCAGTACTTTCGTCCAATCTGCGCATGTGCTCCAAGAATTGCACTCGCAGAATGCTCAGCGAGTTGGACGTCAAGATGCTCTTTGTCTTCGTATGTCTTCGAAGAACATCGACGTCAGACCGAAGCGCTCTAATGAAGGTTCGATCCCCGGACCCCCCCCCCTTCTCCCGGCGCAGTACAGAGTGCCACCTGGTCAAAATAGAATCTCAACGGGTGGAGAAATTTTTCTGTTAAATGCAAGTTTTCGTCCCGGAAAGGTTCATCGAAATACATTTTAACACACAAATCGACGGAAAACCTGTATAATGTCACTGCTAAGAGCGGACACTGGAAAAAAAACACATCGGATCCAGAGGTCAGACTCTTAAAAACATCGATAAGAAAAAATACTCTTGATTCAATCAGATGTAAGCTTAAATCAAGAACCAAGCCTCTTAATTTGAGCGGATTTCCTTCTGATTTAAGCTTAATTCTGATTGAATCAAGAGTCCTTTTTCTTACCAATTTTTCAAGAGTCTGGACTCTAGATCCAATGTGTTTTTTTTCCAGTGGATTCTCGCTATGAGTAGGTTCTGTCATCATCAGGTTTCATTTCATCGCGCAACTCCACTCGTTTCGTGTAAAAAGAAAAATGAAAGTAATAATAATAGACGATTCTGGGGCCGTTCCTAAAATACGTAATGCAGAAAATCGAACGTTTCA